AACCTTGTCCAATTCTATGACGGTTCACAGTTAGCTGTGAAACTGTCAGTGTCAGTAACACCATCCCAACTTGCATCTGTCTCGGTCCACAGACAGTTCATCGGACATGACAATCATGTTTGGAGAGGCTTGCCTCATTTCTTTTCGACCCTCACAGATGTCAAGAAACTTTTTTCAAAGTTGTCCTCTTACAACGTCTGCCTCGGAAATTACGAAGACAAATTTAGCCATCTGGTTCCAATAGGTGTTGGGTTGAGTCAGGCTGTTGCTTCTGGCATCTCAGCCTACAGAGAAGGTGACTTTGGAATAAACACCAATGGCATTGAAATCAGCTCAACCATCCGGTCAACAAGTTGTTCCCTGTTGGTATTTGGGAAAGGGAGATGTAGACATTGTTGTAGGTATCGGTCTACCCTCAGGAAACATCTGTCTAAGGATAGTTTATCTCCTAAACCATGTGAGCCATAGCATCTTAAACTGTCTCATAAGACACATAAACACATGACAAAATTAGAACTTGTGCCCAAATTTCAAACTATTAAAAGTCACTTCACTAATCAGTCACTTCAGAGCGAGTTAGATCAACTGAAAAGGAAAGTGTCTGATATGATTAGAAGCAAAGGACTCATGCTAAATGACACTTGTGATGCAGACTTAAGAGACATGCTCGAAGAGTACAGTTCTGAGATACAGAAAGGCTATCCTGATGAACATTCTCTGCAAAGATTTTTCTGGGAACAGCAAGTGAAGTATGCCAAGTTAAATGACAAACGGTCGATGAGATGGCATCCTATGGTCATCAAATGGTGTCTATATTTGCGGAGCAAAAGCAGAAAAGCCTATGATGCTGCACGGAATACAGGTTTCATAAAGTTTCCAAGCAGGAGAACTCTCTTCGACTATTCTCATTCCTTGCCCAGCATTATTGGATTCCATCCTCAGTATGCTAAGCACCTGATGACCGAAGCCAAGTCTTTAGGCATGCTGGAAAATGATGCCAAATCCTTTGTTGGTATATTGCAGGACGAAGTTAAGGTATCCGAAGGACTCATTTATGACAGGTCATCGGGTGAATTGGTTGGCTATGTGGACCTTGATCAAACGGGCAATGAACTTCTACGATTAGAAGAATTATTAAAGGACACACGACCTCAGTTGGCCCGTACAATGCTTGTCATTATGATTCGTGGGATTGTAGCAGACTTCAGGTATCCTTATGCCGCTTTTGCAACAAGAAATATTGAATCAGCATATCTATACTCCATATTGTCGGAAGCTGTTTGACCTTGGAAAACACTGGATTAAAGCCTATCTTCATCACATGTGATGGTGCTACCCCCAATAGAAAAAAATTAAATTTTCATTTTGTGCCACAATTGGGTAATACCTACTGGACATGGAATCCATATTCATTTCCAAAGAGGAAATTATATTTTGTTTCTGATGTACCCCATCTGCTCAAAACAACAAGGAATTGTTTTGCCAACTCATGCTCTCACAAGATGTCCAGAACGTTATGGAAAGATAACAATAGAATAAGTTGGCTCCATATTGTGAGATTGTATGAAGAATTTGTTGAGAACTCTCTCTATTTTAAACATACAAACTTACAAGGGACCACATTGGTTTGACATCCTTTTCAACAATGAAAGTTCATCTAGCTGCAGAGGTTTTCAGTTCAACCGTAGCTAATGCTCTTGAAGAACAGTACGGAGATGAGACGACAGAAACAGTTAAATTCTTAAGACATATGGACAAATTTTTTGACTGTCTAAATACAAGAAGCATAACAGAAGGAATCCTATCCAGAAATCAAAACAAGAAGGAGTACCGGGATATTAGTGATCCTCGTTTGGATTATGTATTGAATGATTTCTTGAACTTTTTTAAATCATGGGAGGAGAGTGTCATGAGGCGTCCAGGTGACATTTCATTAGCGCAAAGGAGACGTATGATGCTCAGTCATCAGACATTAAAAGGAATACAAATATCTGTTCATTCAATAGTAGAATGTGTGAGGTTCTTGTTGACTAATGGTGATGAATAAGTGTTGACTCATAGATTTAATCAGGACCCACTTGAGGAGCAGTTTGGACAATAAAAACAAAAGGGAGGTGCAAATGACAACCCATCAGTGTATGCTAAAAAGCACATGTTTTCAGAGATGAAAGTTATAGGTTCATCTGCCCTTCAACCCATCAGAGGCAATATCTCTCAGAAGAGAGGTGCAGCAGTAGCCAGGGTAACTGTGGATGATTCACCTATGTCAAGAAAGAAACAAAAGCGTTTGAATTAAAACAATAACATGTCTTTATTTGTTCACTTCTATTTTAGTTTCCGGATTCCTTCAACGCACCCCTGAGAGATCGGCTCCTTTTAATGCCCTTGTGTTTCCTGCCACCCCTCATTTCCTTCTGTAGCTGACGTCTAGAGTATTTAGCAACAGCTCCCCCACGTACACGTAGGAACAAGTCCACAATAAACTCTAACATTTTCAGTTTCAATGAATCACCACAGAAGATTAATTGGTCCCAATAGTACGAAACCATGTAATTTGTCATTAGGGTTTCTTTAGGTTTGTCACATAGGAGTGACGAGGCACACAACTGAGAAAGTTCAACCTTTTTCCTCATCTCGATCTCAAATGACCTCACGAGTAGGTAGAAATTGTTACTGGGAAATTTCAGACCTCCTCTGCTCATTTCTGTGTCCATTTACTAAATTTCTCATTGTACACCCTCTTTGAACTTTCATCAGAAGATGCAAACCATTCTCCTACGTGCATGTCTATGTCTGTACCACAGATCACCTTCTCCTTTAAAACAGCGTGCAAAATGTAGCCTGATACATAAAACAACACTGCTTGGTCATTGTCACTTATTGTGGATGCTGTTTGTTCAAAATCTTTCTTTTGTGCTTCTGAGATATATTTCAGAATATTTCGCATGATGCGGTCCATTGGACATTGGGCAAAGATATGAACAATCCTCGGCGACTCGCTTGTCACTTTCACCAAAATGCTGTGCAGGTCAGACTGCAATTCATCCTTGAGTCTCATCTGATGAAATTTCATCCACAGTTGTTCTCTTTCAGCAGAAAGAGAACAGCCGTGTCCAAACTTGTAAAAATCTTCTTGAAATTCTGGGGTAAGGACTAAAATAAGTTTTTCCTGAACTGTTTGATTGTCAATACATTCTTTGGCTATGGTAACGAGATGTGGGCCATTCACGGAACACGAAGAGTCATTCATTGGATCCAAGATAACTGTAGATATTGACTTAGACAAGACAGCTTTCAGAGCATCCTGCATGTCTGCTTTCGTTGACATGGGAACTAGTGTGTTTGCTGTGCAGGTTGAATCTGGAGGGTTGCTTCCACCAGGAGAGTCTAGACGATGTTCGTGTGCTAATATAAAAATGGTATTGATTTATGACATATTCAAGTGACAAATATTGGTAGATGATAATTACTAAGAAATGTATTGACAATTAAGTAATTATGAACTGGTGACCTGATATTTATTTGTTAAAACCAAACAACACACATTGACAGAAATAGTGCAATTATTTCAATAGCTAGCCCTCGTCTTGGTACTGGGCAAACAAGTCTAATAAGGTAAATTTGCCTTATATCTGTAACACAATTAAATAAGGCAAGACTGATGTTTGACGTCTACAATAACGAAAACAGCTTCAAGTATTTGAATAGCATGTGTTGCCTACATTTGCAAACCGGCATGTTAATGCTGACCACCATCATAAAACTGTTTTACAGACAATGTAAAAATAGTGTAAATTTCTGATAAATTGTATTGTTGAATAAAATGTGTTAATCATTGTTGTCGTTAATTTTAAAGATATATATAAAAGACCATTACAAAAATTAACATATATTTATGCATGTATATGTACGTAGATTGAATAAACAGAACTCACCTTTAATATCTGATCTGTTGTGTTTCTTGGTAACAAGACCACGGAAGCCCCCGATACTCATGTAAGTTTTTCGGCACAGTGGGCAAGCATATCTTGCTTTCCTTCTCGTGATCTTTGCATGTTTTGGTCCAGTAGTCGACGAAGCTTCGTCATAGACTGGACTGTCAGTGTAGTTGTCTCCATCGAAGCATTCGTCAGACCAAAGACGTATATAGATGCTGTGAGAGGTGACATTCAGTACAAGTCAACAATACGATCAACCAAGTGCTGTCTACTGGTTCTATCAAAGAGGAGATGCAAACACTGTGACCTATACAGAAATACTCTCCGGAAGAAGGCTTCCCGTCAAAAGGCCCAAACTGTCTCTACATTTTCTTTGAAGAAAACACCTCATAGTATGATGAACAGAGACCATTTGGTTAAGAAGATTGACATGTTAAAGCATGAGAAACGCTCAATTCAGGTTGAACTTGATCGACTTAAAAAACGGGTCCTTGATGTCATCAAAACAAAAGGACATGTGTTAAGCTACAGTGAATACGAGGAACTCCTAGAGCTCGTGGATAAATACACAAGTGATGTCGAGACAAGTTATCCAGACGAAAATTGTACACAAAGGCTGTTCTGGGATCAACAACTTAAGTACGCAAAACTTAAAAACAAGTCGGCAATGAGGTGGCACCCTATGATGGTCAAGTGGTGTTTATATTTGCGTAGCAAGAGTCAAAAAGCTTATGATGTGGCCAAAGATTCTGGATTCATTGCCCTTCCAAGTACACGTACGTTATTTGACTACTCGCATGTCTTGCCAAGTAAATGTGGCTTTCACGAGAAATTTACAGAGCATCTAATAGAACAGGCAGAGAACTGTGGAATGTACGAGGAAGAATGGAAATCTTATGTCGGCATCCTTCAAGATGAAATTAAAGTTTCAGAGGAACTGGTCTATGACAAAAACAGTGGGGAGTTAGTTGGTTATGTGGGACTGGACAAACCTTGGAACGACATCAATCAAATGGAAAATCTCCTAAGTGATAGTGACCCAATCTGGTGAAATCCATTCTTGTTGTTATGGTGAGAGGCATCACCACATCTTTGAAATATCCATTCTTTTGTCTGGCTACTGATGGAGTGTCTGCAGCTACTTTATATCCACCTATATGGGAAACTGTAAGAATTTTGACGATTGAATGCGGCTTAAAACCATTGTTTATAACATGTGATGGGGCGACGCCAAACAGAAAATTCTTCAACCTACATCTTGATGAAAATTTACAAAATACATTTTGGTCTTGGAACCCATACTCGTTTCCCAACAGAAAAATGTTTTTCATATCAGATGTCCCACATTTACTGAAAACAACAAGAAACTGTTTCTCAAATTCTGGAGCACATAACTTGGTACGACATCTTTGGAAGAATGGGAAATGTATTTCATGGACCCACATCATCCGTTTGTATGAGGATCATGTGGAGACCCCATTATTTTCCCTCTGCCCCAAACTTACCAGACATCATGTTCATTTATCGTCATTTGCAAAGATGAAAGTGAACCTAGCTGCACAAGTGCTCAGTAAGACAGTTGCGGATGCTCTAGAAGATCTTTATGGGGACCATGTTGCAGAAACTGTCAAATTTATTCGGCACATGAATCGTTTCTTCGACTGTCTGAACACCAGAAATTTAGAGGAGGCAAAACGCAAGAGGAACCCTGATCTTGAGGCATATAGGACACCAGACGACCCTAGACTTCAGTACCTGAGTGATGAATTCTTGCAATATTTCAATGATTGGGAAACGGCCATAATGACTAGGACAGGACCATATACAAGAGGGCAACGCAGGAAGATGATTCTGAGTCAACAAACATTAAATGGACTCAAAATTACAGTGAATTCTATTGTAGAATGCACAAAATTTCTTTTAAGAGAAGGAGCCTTTTTTATATTGACACATAGATTTAATCAAGATCCCCTGGAAGAAGATTTTGCTCACTATCGACAGAAAGGTGGATCAAACGACAACCCAACAGTCTATGATGTCAGGAACACATTGTCCCAACTTCGGGTGATTGGATCAGGAGCACTTGCACCTATTCGAGGCAATGTTTCCAAAAAGAAAAACAGGGACCACTTGCTGTTGACAATACCCCACTTGCCAAAAGGAGAAGATAATAATATTGTGAACATGTGACTGATGGATAGTTTGTACAATCTTGTACAGTGATCATGGTGCTAATCAAAAACAGTGAACTGTGAAACTTGCCATTCAGTGTAAACCGATCTTGCACATTGTATGTGCACTGTTAAGCATGATTTTGTGAAACTAAATGAATAATGTTCCATAACTTGATAAGCAAAATAGTTCAGTGTTAACTGTTGAAACAGAAATAGTTAAAACTATCAAATGAGTTATATCGTGACTACATAACACAGCAGACCTAATAATAGAAAATCCAAAATAAATGAAGAAGACAACTTGTTTAAGGTTGTATTTTTTAAACTTTAAAGTTTTGCAGCCAAACTGCACTCAAGTATGTAAACAAGGTATAATAAATGCTTTGGGTGATTCAACATATGTCACAATTGACATACAAGATTAAAATACAGTTTAGCTTTGTGTTGATAACCAGGAGTTACTATACAATTACAATATACATAGGAAGATAATTTTTGTCATGGTAGCTAGGAATCATTGTAGGTTTCGAAGTCGTTTCCTCAGAGATTGGGACTTTTTCCCTTTTAAACTTGCTTTAGCATTTTCCTTCTGGGATTGTCTTTGTACATGTTTTGCAACAGCTCTTCCACGGAGTCTTAAAAACAGGCCTACAATGTTCTCCAAGATAGAGGTTTTAATTTTGTCCTCAGAGGCAATAAGCTTGTCCCAGTAGAAACCAACTGTGATGTCTTGCATTATTGCCTCTTTCAGTGCCATCTTTGCAATTGCATCCCTGTTCAGACCCTTTAAACTAACTGGCAGTCTGCAAATTGTCTCTTTTTTTCTGACAAGAAAGAAAAAGTTATCCCCACAGACTTTCAAACCACCACGGTTCACTTTCACAGTCCACCTTTTCACCTTTGTGACAAAATCGGGAGACTTCTGGGTAGATGACGCACAGAGATTTTTGAGAATAGATACAGAGGCGGTACTTCCTTTCTTCATTGATTGTTTTCTCTATAGCACAAATTAGATATCCTGATATGTAGAATAGGACTGAGTTGTCTTCGTCTGTAAAGGATTCTACAGATTTCTCCGTTTCTCCTTCTGTAGACTTGATGTGAAGTTCGTAATTGCACATCTGATTAGGTCATCAAGGAGACACTGAATAAAAAAATGGACATGCATTTCCGTCTCGTTCGCAACTTTCAAAACTACAGATCGCAGCCTGGCACATAGATCAAAATTGGTCCTCATTGAATGAAATTTACTCCACATGAGTTCCTTGTCGGCAGAGAAAGAGTTCGCTTTGCCAAACACTGCAAGTGTATCCAGGAATGGTGGCTTCAGAACAGTTCCTAATTCCTGCATCATGTCTGGTGAGGACATCACTATTTTGCCTATATGAACCATGGTACTTCCGGACTTTGATTTGGTGGAGTTGTGATTTGGGTTATTCAAAACTTCTAAAACTGCCGACTCGAGAAGTTGTGTGAATGAATTGTCCGTAAAGGTTATGATGTCACTTGACGTCTTCGTGATGTCCTGGTCGCAGGCAGGTGTAGCAGCAACATCAGCTTTCCCCGTGTCTGACAGCTTGTGTTGACTAGCTGTAATAAGATCATTTCATTAATTGCTTCAGTCCAGTCACTGATTGAAAATACATGTGTAGATAACTAGTAAATGTGTGCGAAAAAAATCATAAGCATAAACTGTAACCAACTTTTAAAACAACAACATATTAAACTATCTGTTGTGTTAATGTGTAAAGATAACATCCAGACTATTGCGATCATATAAGTGATGTAAATAAAAATGCATATAACAAGATAAAGTTGTTGAAAATACACAGTAATTTTGATTTCTTAGAAGCTATTGTAATAACAATTAACCTGTGTTCCTCAGTAGAAAATGAAATGTGTTATTCAGTATGTCATGTATATGTTGCAAATTATAACAACATACTTTAGATCTTATGAACAATTTACAATATCTTGTGTGCATTTTATATATTTATTTATTGGTGAAGTAATGAATGTTTTATTATTACTCACCACTCTACTTTTATGAATATATATATATATTGTTGTTGTACAGAAACTATTGATATTTTTAATATGTCCAAAATAAAATTAAAAATGAATTTGGATGATAAACAGTAAATTAATAACATTGTGGCCTTGATTAAGCATAATAAAACCCTGAGAATGTTGTCATTTGTCCTTATTTTTATGAATAATTTTCAAATACTGTTTCAAGAATATTGGACACTGGTAGCCGTACGTCTTTGGTGTAGGTTTCGCCGAGGTGTCCGTCTCTGTCTTCGGTCGTTTGGAAGAATTACGTTCCTCCTCAGACCATGAATCAGAGCTGAAATCTAATTCATACTCCGTCTATTCACTCAACATTTCCGATAAATCAACATCGGAATCGTCCCAATACAAATAATCTGACATCGTGTTTGCAGCGTAATTAAAATAAGAATGACTGACAAACACATAGTAGGCATATATAACAGTCGTGTTTTTATTACATACGTGATAAAATCGGCAATACATCTGCGGAACATGTGAAATGTACATGCACATGGCTTTCTCGTGTAGTAAAATTCTGACACGCGCTATTATCCGAAAGTTTGGGTAACTAAGGAAGTGGATAAACTAGGCATTGCGCAAGCGCCAGATGACCAACGTTCGACCACTCTCGCCTCACGGCAGGGGGTCTTTCACATGTGTTGTCGATTGGCTTGGCCCGATCGCGCGGCGCACATCGCCAAAGGCTATCGCTGCAGGCTTCCTAGATTAAAATCTAGTCTCTGAAATGAACATATCGTACATAAAAAAAACAGTTGTTCAGTTATCTTAATAAAAATATAATAAAAAGGAGCCCAGTGACTCTCTTCATTTTCAGATACTGCAGTGATCTAGACTTGCCAAACATTATAGACTTGCATGGGCTGTATTTGATATATATTTGTATCAGGGTCTGTAAGACAGACTACAGGCTTCCTATCCTTTGTATATACGTCCGTGGTCAGACAGTTGCTCTATGTCATAATCAGTATAGTCGCCAAGGAGTAGGTCTAAATCTAAATCAGAATCGTCCCAGTGAGTCGACCATATCGAAGGAAAAAAAAAATAACATGATCGAGTTTGCTTTATAAAAGGATATAAATCCGACAGCCGAAGCATTGTTTACGATACAGCCGGAAGTATTAGTATTCGACATCTGCGTCTGCGCGAAAACAAAGGGAATTAACTTATGACCCTAAAGCGTTGCGTAATATGATTTGCCTGACAACGGAAGTCCTCCGATAAGAGCATGTGCGCATATGCCATGCATCTTGACCACAGCCGAGAGAAAAGCCGCAGGGGTCCTCGGTGTATCGCTTACACTCATTACCGCGGCAGTGATCGTTAATGAGGCCTGTCCCTCGGTATATGGTCTCTGATGACAGTTAGTCACTCAGTTGTGTAATGCTACTACGGAAGTGGCCATTCCGTGTGCCGCTCATTGGTTCCGTTTAAGTTGAGTGTCATCAGTGTACATTGTAACGCCCATAATCATGCAATAAATCCTTTGCTCATCCATCACGTAATCTCGCGGCTCGTGTTCAATTCCCTACACGGGAACATTGTGCGAAGCCAATTTCTGGTGTTCCCCGCCGTCCTAATGCTGGAATATTGCTAATGACGGCATTAAACAATATTCATTCACTAATCTGTTTTTAATTTCAAAGTCAGCGGATCCAAATTTCACGAATATTGAATAAAATCAGATTTGGGTCATTTTCTTATTACCGCCGTGTCTGTAAACTAATTACCGTATTGAAAAATAACACTTCAAAGCAGGTCAATAGGTGAAGGAAGTCACTTGACTTTCAAATATTTATCAACGCAAATAGACGTCCTAGTGCCCAAAGATCGACCATAAATCCAATTACCACATACACTTTTCTTTCATTTATTTAGGTTCTATTAAACTTCGAAAACATGTTTTTGAAATCTGCTTTTAACGTTTAAGTTTAAATTTGATTATGGAACTTCTATGAACAGGCTTCTTACAATATATTTTACCGTGTGGTTTTGGCAACATCCCTTAAACAAGCTTAGAAATGAAATGTACTCATTGTATGGCGTTTTGGTTTTGGGAAAGCATCATTTTGTTGCCATTTCATATTGTGTAAATATGAAAACTTCTTACTAAGAGTTCACCAACGACGGCTGTTGATATGTTGGCACTGTCACATAGCACCAACATCAATCATATTGTTTTTAGTTTTTAAGTACACATCGTTAAAACGTTAGACCATGGCAAGTTATTTATTATATACGCAGTAGTGTCCAAAGCCACATCCCCATCCATTATAATAAATGTCAGTTCATAAAATTAAACTGTTAAAATAAATTACAACCAAACAGTCATTGAAATAATTTATCTAGCCAATTACCAAATTTGGAACCATAATGACTTCAAAGCCGTCATATGTTTCCAATACAACATAAGAAAAGGAAAAAAAAATATTAGGTCATATTTCAGTTTTGTTGCATCCTGAATCCAATTAGTTTACTCATTAAGGTACATATATTTTCACTTTCCGACAAGGTTAAAACTCGATGTCACCCTCGCTTACTGACTACACCCTAGTGCAATAGACTTAAATTAAAGGGTGACATTTAAACATGTCTTCTTATCGTTATGTCAAAAATGCCCCGACAACAAAAACAGGTGTTTCATAAACTTCATTATCAACTGCAACTCGATCGAGGCGTGGCAGCAAAGTGGGAATTTCCACGCGCATGCTGGTTTATCAAGAAGGAATTAATGTTCTGAGAGATCCCGATGATTATTGGCGCTCCTTAAGAGGGCGAAACGCTGCTAAAGCAGACAAAATGTTTAAATGTACAAAAAGCAAAAAAAGAAAAAAAATCTTGTGTTTTCGCGAGAAATCAAAATAAACGAATACGCCCTGACTTCCTCGAGTCCTTGTGAACATTGTCCAAGCACTGTGCATTTCACGTTATGTTGTTTTCTGAGTAGTGTTGCAATGTGGGTGTTACGCGTGTCGACTAGGATAGGGCTAATCGAGTATTTCTTAGAAAACCCCTTTGACATGTTGTACTTGGTGTGTGTATCAAACAAAAGTCAATGCCGAGTGACGGGAGTCGGGCTTAATGTCGCTTTAAAGGTTTTTAAGTAATATAAGGGCGTGTCATCACAATGTGGGCGTGAGTCGGTATATGGTTTTGTGGCCTACAGCAATATTCCAGCAATATCCCGGGGGACACTAGAAATGGGTTTCACACATTGTACACATGTGGGGAATCGAACCCGGGTCTTCGGCGTGACGAGCGAACGCTTTAACCACTAGGCTAACCCGGCGCCCTCACAACTTGGGTAGAAAGGTCAAGGTGATGTAGGTGGTAGGGTTTACCGTTTGGTTGCAGTACAGGTTTGATTCTGATCAGTGTTATTTGAGACAGGTTTGACTTAGATAAATGTTTCATTGGGTGCTTTTCGACAAGAACATATATACGAACGGAATAACGCAGCGTCTAATTATTTGTAGAAATAAACATGTTTTCAAGGCGACATTGAAATCCAATCTGTTGAAGAATTTGCTACACAGACACCTGTAAATAATAACAAATAATAA